TGGCTTCAGCACAGTCAACCATTAAAGGACGCACCGCGCAGCAACACCACACCGACGTACGTCCGAGACTAGACTCCACCGAGGTAGGTATATAACCCAGGCCCATGGCGTACAGAGGCCTCTTCGTCTCGCTGGTGGACTCAGTGCTTCGAGCCAACGACCCCGAGAAGCAGAAGCTCTTCTTCGTGACCTACCCGCAGTACGGCACACCGTACGACTTGCTCAACACCCTGCAGGAGTCGCTGAAGGCCAAGGAACACAAGGACGATGGCCCCGCCTTCATGAACCTGGTGGGCGCCTTCCTTCAACGATGGGTCGAAAACTGCCCCGACGGTACTATTACTTCTGCCCACTCACAGCCCAAGCTGGGTGTTGTTCGTTCATTGCATCGATCGATCTCACCGTGATTGCTTCGCACCCCACAGACTTTGAGAACGACAAGAGGCTCGGGGAGGACCTGCTCAGCTTCGCCCGAGAGAAGCTTAGCGCCGGCCTTTGACCGAACGCTGCTGAAGGGGGTGCTCACCACAGCCGCGTCTTGCTTGGCCGCGCGTGGAGTCGGCCCAGCAACGCACTGCAGCCATGACGCCAGAATTTGCCATAAAAACGTACGTAAGCCAAATTCCTAATAAAGGTCGCCCACCAGGGTTTGGTCGCAAACGGCGAAACGGCGTATGATCAACTGAAATGCGAGCGAGGGGCCAAGGGTGGACGCACGCGAAGGTACTTGAGCTTGAGGTGGTTCGTAATGCCGAGTTGACATCGCCTGCTATTTGACGCTCATCGACTGGAGGTACGTACAAGCTTGTCCGCCCCCCCCCCCCTCCTCCGCCACACACCGCCACATCTCCGTCTCACTGGGTTATCTCTCCCGTGCCAGGTACTTCTCCGCGATTCGAGCTACCGAGCTCTTCGACAACGCCTGGCAGAAACCCAACAAGAACGAGCTCGCCCCCAATATCACCGCGCTCGCTCAGAGGTAGCCATTAACGTCATCCCCTCGGGTGGATTAGCCATTTTTGTGCTGAAGTGCCCGATATGGTTATGGGTGCTTCGGCAGGTTCAACACCATATGCCTGTGGCTCGCCGCGTGGGTGATTGATAGCTACGAGCGCAATGCCCACACCGCCGTGGTGGAGAAGATCATAGAAGTACTCAAGGTATCCAAGGAGACTTCCGGCGCGGCGCCTGCAATAGCAACTAACCAACATGACC